AACAGGCCGTCAAATAGAAACAGGCCGACTAATAGAAACAGGCCTTCAAATAGAAACAGGCCTTCAAATAGAAACAGGGCAACAAATAGGAAATTATAAAGCGCTGGAAAAGTTTAGGGAGAATATTTTAATTTGAAAAAGTGTCTGAATCCATCAAGAAGTGGAAGCTGGTGTGAGGAGAGAAAAGACACTTCTGCTGAATAAATGAGGATGAAGGGAGGCAGTAATCGCTTAAGCTGTTATACATCGCGAGCTATTAATCTCCGGCGAAGCAATCCCAGACGGAGATGAGATACACCAAGATCCAATTAACTTCATGTGCAAGAGGAACTGGCCTCTGCTGACCAGGTTTCCTCCACCCTGCCGCACAATACCTCGAGGACGTCCCCGAGCCGGGGGCCGTCAAAAGATCGCCGTGTGATCTGACAGCGGACCTTCACGCTCATTTATTCAGTAACTGCAACTCTCCTGAAATTTAAATCATGAGGCAAAACTCTGACTTAATCACTGCTGTCCAAACTTTAACTGTTACAACTGTTTATACAGCTGCAGGCACAAACTTTCCTTCTTCCTCCTCTTATCATTCAACAAAGGCTCAGAGTCCTCAGTCAGCAGAGCTCGCTGGGGTCACCGTGCCGCAACCGCAGACCGCACACACACATGCATATGCACACACACACATGCATATGCACACACGGGAAGTATAGAGGCAGGCTGTGGTGGGACTCGTATAGCTTTTATTGCATTGCTCCTGTTTCATGACATTGTGAATGCCGTGTCTTCTTTATTGTATCTTTGGCCTTCAGTCTGGTTTTGTCGCTCCTCCATCACATCTGCAGCCGTGTCAGCCGACATGTTTTTGCTTCCAAAAACTGCTGCATGTTGGTTTGATTAGTCTTTGTTTGCTTGCCAAATCACTCAGTCCTCCACTTTGCTGCAGAAGCCAGCACAGTAATTGTTTAGCTGCGAGGAGGCAGGCCAGTCCCACAATATCAAAGCATTCACAACTCTAATTATCTCTCCATCACACTAGCGTTTGGGTATTTTAATTTCAAGTCTGTCTCATAAACAATTCAGAGTTTACAGCAACAACTGGAACTAACAGTTGAAAAATGCTTCATCCCAGAGAGGACTGGATCTGCATATGCAAACCAGAAATCCCTTAATCCTCTTGTTTATGCTAATTACCCCGGCTGCTCTCAGTGTGTGTGTCTACATGTGCACTATATACACCTGTGTGTGTTTCACTGAGAGACGCTCAGAAACTCACTCTGCTGAGCTGTCTCACAATAATCCCATTGTAGCAGCAGCATTAGCACGTGCACTGGAGCGACGAGGACAACGTAAATGACCACAACAAGCAGCGGGACACTCTGCCATCCCTCACTCATCCAATCTGAAGGGATCACAAGTGTGGCACCGTGAAAGCTTAAAGGTCTAATCTCCAGCTGGTGTGAAGTCCCCCCTCTGGTGCCACGCCTTCTCCATTCGCTTTGTTTGTGTTTGTATCAGCAGCTAGAAGTTAGATTGGCTTGTCACACCGCCCTCTTCGTTCAATCACTTCCTCATTTAATCGCCTCGTGTTATGACCGTGTTTTACCCTCAACAAACCCCTCCCTCATTAGTCTTTGCGTATGCCGATGGCATGTTTGCCATAGAAACCGAGGCACCATCAACATCGAATATACGGCTGCATCTGGAGAAGCAGCGGCCGCGTGTTGCTGTGGCTTATAGCTTGCAGACTGGGGAGGGTCTGCGTTAGACAAAGCGTAAAGCGCTGGCATATTTAGGTCATAGGCTGGTCCTGGTGTGAAGGGTCGCACCAGATGGCCCGGGAGCTTTCGACCTCAGCGTTAATTACAGGAGAATTCCCCGTGGTGCGGCCAGGCTCTAACTGCAGCTTTTTCTCTCTTCCTCTCAGGTGACGAGCAAATGAGGAGCTACCTGAATGCACAACCAAACCTGACAAAGGATGACTAGACGGCGATAAAAGAAAGGCTTCTTTATGCTCCCAGTCATCCTCCCCAAGATCATCATCATCCTCCTCCTCCTCTTGGCTCCTGCTGCTCTCTGTTTTTTTACAGCCTCGCTGAGGTGACTGGAAAGAGGGAGCGTCTTGCCCCTCCTTCTAAACCACAGCCCGGTGAGAAGGTGCTCAACCCACCCTCCACTTGGATCGTGTCCTCCTCGCCTCTGTGAGGATCCTCTGAACTTTTGCAGGCCAAGACCGCCGTAAGCCCTCCTGATGCTAAACTACTGAATGCTGACCACGAACCTGCCCTGTCTGTCTGCCTGTCTGTCTCTTATCGGCTGTCGATCTGCAACAAGTGCCATCGCATCATTACATTCCTTCGGATTTGCACTGACCGCCAACAGCCCTCATCACTAGCTATGTTTACATGCATTCGACTAAGCCACGCATGAAGCTCTGCTGAAGCTAAAGCAGCTGCAGGAAAACGCAGCAGCGGTGCAGGCGTTGTTTATCTCTTTAAACAAGTGACTGATGTCGCATTACTCATCACAGTCTCGCCGCAGTAACAGCAGAAACAGCAAATTCAGTGTTTACACCATAAATCCAGTATTTTCACAGTGAAAGTTTAGCCGTGCATGTAAACAAGCTAGAGCCAAAAATGTGTTGCTTTGGGAAAGGTCAGTGAACGAGCCTTAAAGTCGGAGCTTTCACACCTGCAGATGTTTCTTTGAGCCCCGCGTGCGTTTCCACTTGGATGAGAACTCGTTATGTTCGGATTGTTTGTGTCGTTTTCTGTTTATGTCGGATTTGAAGCTGGAGGTTACTGCCTATGATTGTTTCCTAACCGTGATGATGCAGTCTGGGCGATTTAAAGTGGACACTGGATATGTATAGTTTATATCTTTTATATTTATAATTTATTCTATTCATGCTTTTTCCAAAAGTCAATGTCATGCTAGTCTTTTGACTGTTTATGTACACGAGAAGCAATACTAAGAACATTTAGAAGAAACCAACCTTTTTGTTCCACACTGCCTTATCAGTGAGCTCGGCTTCCCTTTAAAGAGGTCGCTCTCTGATGGTTGGTTTTGAATTTCTGGACACACCACCCACCCACACAGGGACCGAGTCGCTCTTAATGGTGGATCGCAGTCCAATCATCAGCGCTTACAATAACAGGCATTGTGAAAAGAGGCCCTTCCTCTCCAACTGCAGATATCCCATTGCATCAGTTTATTAGCGAGGGGAATCAAAATGCCAGACAGGAACAGGAAACGCGAGCTCGTATCGTTGCAAACTGATGAATGAGGAATCCCCCTAAAGAGCTGAAAGAGCTTCATTTCTGCCTGCCGTTTCCATGGGTACACATCTCTCGCGAAGAAAACAAAACAACAATTGTCAGTGAGGGAAGCTATAGCATGTAGCTTGCACATAACACAAGCGATGGTGAAGGGTGAAACCTCAGAGCCACTAATGGGATCCCAGGTTTTAAGGGGGAAAGATGCACTTTGCAGACCTGGAAGGAACCACAGAAGGCAGAGGATGCACTGACCTTAGCTGAGGAACAAAAGGAGACTCCGAGGTTGTTCTTGTAGCATTGATGTGTGAGCATGACTCACTGGCTGTGTGGGGGTGCTGTGTGGGCTGTGTCCTTGCTGCCAGATCATTAGCTTTAGCTTCTTCCTCCAACTGCGTGGAGCTCTCTGAATGTGATTCTGTCCCACCCGATGTGTTTACACCACCTTCATCTTCTTAACGAACTAAGCTTCTTACCTTCCATTTATTGATCTTCTTTTCCTTTGTAATGTTATCAGAGGACTTTTTGAATACCTACAGTAGAGATATATATATAAAGCTATACCATGCAGCGATTTTAATATATTGTAAATGATGGCTTGGATGCAATGTATTTATTTGTTTGTTACATATTGAAGAATATTCTATAAAGGGAAATTTAAGGCTGCAGTATAATAGACTGAGCCATGTGTCACTGGGTTGGAAACCTTTTCCTGTCATACTGAAACAACACACGCCCCTTTTGCATTAGCTGGATTACGATTGGACGTGTCCCACGTGTAGACACAGAAATAAATGCAATGGGTTGTTTTTAAGACACATTAGCCTCATTGTAAGGATGCAATTTATATTAAGCTCATTTATGTGTTTTTATTTGTAGATTCAAAACCATTTTTGCACATTTAATGATCAGGGATTTCTTTGAGCCACCGCCTCGCACCATCGACGGCCCGGCCTCTCGGCGCTGGCGTGTCGTCGTCTGTCATCCGTAGGAACTTCCGCTCTGATCAGACGAGCCATGGATCGAGTTTCACGTTGCCAAAATTCAGTTGATTTAGCACCAGTCCGTCCTTTTATCTGTCGTAAATGTATGTTAACAATCACTGAAGTGATGTCTCGAGGAAATGCTTCTTGTCATACAAGAGTCTGTACAAATAAACTCACGTTGAGCAGAAGAGAAAAAAACAGAAGTTATTTTTATTTTTAGAGGACGTCAGTACACGTGTCCGAGAAGTCAAAGGGTATTCTTTTAGAGCTGGAATGTGATGCTCCCGTGGGTGGATGATGGAAAAATGTACAGGTCTGTAAATCAAATAAACCTATTCACACACACGTCTGTGCGTCTCTGTGTGTCTGTAACGCCACGGCCATGTGTGTTCACGGCGTTTGCTTCGTCTCGCTGTGTGAATCTGAGGACAGCTCGCACTGCAGCAGCGCCTCGACTGATATTTAGAGGCTGCGCGTAAACTAGAGCAAGAATCTGTGTGTGTTTAAATATTGCTTTAATGTTCGGTGCAAGGATCGGTTCTGGCTGGAGTTGCAGATATTAATCTGTAACGTAGTTTGTTTGTAACTTTAATACAAGGATTCGAATATTTTAGGAGGAAAAATCTTTATTAAAAAGACAAGTGAGTGTTTAGTTATTAAGGCTTCAGTTTTGTGCTGCTTGGCAAAATGTTAATAGTGTTGGTGTCACAGAAATGGAGGAAACCCTGTGAGACTCGCTGTCAATCTGTTTAACCTGCAGAACGCGCGCCGACGTGTCTGTTTGCTCATCACTTGCTCATTTCCATGTG